GTGTCTTTGATGGCAAACCTCAACATTTGGCTCAATATCTGAATGAATGCCAAATTGAATGCAATGAATACGAGATTCCTATTGAAGTGTTGCTAAAGTTATCTCAAGGAATAAACAGAGAAAACATTAAGAAATTAAATGCAAAACATTTACAAACAAATGAAGACAATTGTACGGAAGAAATGTTGCAAACAGTGAAAGGCATTCAATCAAAACATAAATGCTTTAAATTCATAGATTTATGGATCATATTCTGCAGATTCTTGAGAATCACTTTCATAGCAAACGGATATAAATTATTCAAACAAATAATTGTATTTTTCATATTTCATGCAATTATGGCAATTGTTTTCAAAGAGAATCTCTCATTAGTCGACGGATGTATTGAATCTATTGAAGACATGACTTGTATTGAAAGAGAAGATAATAAAAGGATTTGGCAAAAGAGCGCACATTATATCCATTTGTCACTATTCATATCGTTTATAATTAACACATCAATTATGACAACTAGTTTTGCCATTGATTTCAATGTATTTTTGGTGGAATACCGTAACCGTAAGAAAAATATAATTTGTTGCTTAAACATGTTATTCATATTTAATTTATAAATGCTGTCCCAAACAGAGTGGTACAACTCGAGTGTATTTTTCTTATCAAAAACATTTGTCGACTCGTTAATATCATTAATATATTCAATAATATATTTGTTAACCATTTATTGGGTTTATTATGATTTAATAGATGTGCAAAGATTTTTATATTTATTTTATGTGATATTTGTATCAATGCTTTGCAATCAAACAATATCCTCAATATTTGGCATAATATTTATAAAACACGAGACGCTATCACTTTCTGCATCGATAGCAACGATGTTTTCACTAATGAATTTTGATAATTATTTCATTAGTTTAGTTGATATGAATGAATTGATGAGGTTTTTCAGTGATATTTCATATATTAAATACACATTCAATTCAATATTAATATTGATATATGGATTCAAACGATGTAAAACTGAAGGTCTATCTGAAGTATTATTAGAATATAATATAACTGATGGAAGATTACTCATTAATTACATGAAAAATATAATTATTTATTATATAATAATATTATTAATTCAGTATATAATCTTTAAATTAAAGATTATTTCAATAAATTTTATTTACAATATTGTGAAATATTTTAAAAAACGATCGGAACTTATTAATTGTGATAAGAATTTAGGAATTTTTATAAATGTAAATAAAGAGATAATTAATACTGAATTAAACAGAGATAATAAACCACTAGTAATTTGTTGGATTAATTTGTCAGTATATATAAAATCTGAAAAATCAAACAAAACTGGTTCCATAACCATTTTAAATAACATTAGCGGAGGGTTTGAAATGAAAAGTTTGAATGCATTGATGGGTCCGTCAGGTGTGGGAAAGACAACACTTTTAAAGTGTTTGAACGGAGAATATAATCATTATATGAGCGATGAATCGAAAATGTATTCAAAATTTACAAATAATGGCAAAAACTGTTTTATCGCTCAAAATATTAGTGAACATCTTTGGAGTGGATTAACAGTAAAACAATCACTACTTTATGCCTCAAAACTAAAAAATTCAAGATTTGGTCAACACTTGGATCACAACGAGATTATTGAGAACTTGATGTCTGAGCTGTTGATCAGTGATATCATTGACAATAGGGTTGATATGTGTAGTGGAGGCGAACGGAAACGTATAGCTATTGCTTGTGAACTGACGGCTCAAAAAAGGCCTCATATTCTATGTATTGACGAACCGACGAGTGGTTTGGATAGTTGTGCGGCAATTAATGTATGATTTTTGTATATTAAGCTTAAATTTAACAATAATTTTTAATCTTAATCTTTAGGTAATTCAATGTCTTAAATATCTATCAAATATTCATGACATGACAATTATAGTAAGCATTCATCAGCCAAACAATGAATTGTTTCATATGTTTGATTACATCTATGTTTTGGCCAAAGGAGGCGTTTGTGTGTTTGCGGACAGACCTCAACACTTAAAGCAAACTCTTATTAATAATGACATTAAATGCGATGAAAATCAGATTCCAATCGAAGTATTACTAGAAATCGCTTCCGAGGGTAAAAGTGATGCAATTATTCAACAATTAAGTGAACAACAGTTAATTCAACGAAATCTATTGAATGAGAGAATACATTACGAAAATATGCAAACCTATGAAACAAACCAATTATTGTTTAAGCGCTTTATTTTTATGGATTTTTACAATGTTTTAAAGCGAACTATGATTTATACATATGTTTCCAATTGGAAATCATTATTAATTTTGTGTACTATTTATCAATTATTGGGCATAACTTTGTTAATCAGTTATAAAAGTGATATCATTAAACCCAACGGTTGTCTTGAAGTGGACTTCACGTCAGGATTTGCTTGCAATAAAACAATTGAAAAATTATTGGAAGAAACTTATATTCAACAAAACCTAAAGTATTGCATTTTAGTCGCAACTTCTATAATGAGTGTTGTATTAGTGGTTATGTCCGCAACTTTTTGCATCGATATTCCAAGATTTAATAGAGAGCATCGAAATGGTATTTATTATATTTTTATTACATTAACTCATGAGAGAGAGAGAGAGAGAGAGAGAGAGAGAGAGAGATGAATGTAAATTTTGATAGTTTCCTTATTTCGTTAGTATTATATATTAAAGTGATTTAATATTATTGATAGGTTGGTACAGTTCTGGCGTTTATTTTTGGGTTAAAACATTGGTTGATATGATCCCAATTGTCATATCATTAGTGCCATTTTGTTGGACAATCAACTTATATAAATCACTCAATATTTACATAATATATTACTTCTCTATTTTACTTTCCTTACTATCGGCGCAAAGTTTGGCTCAAATATCGGCAATAATTTTCAATAAAAATATTAAAACTTCGATAACAGTTTCGCTCGGATTTTTGTTAGTCGGCTCCATATTCAACAACACTGTAATATATTTCAATGATTTGCATTATAGCCTACAATTGGTGAGCAATTTATCGTTTGTAAAGCCCGCCTATGAGT